GCTCTGCTGCCAAAGCAGAAGCCATAATTGGTCTGTGCTGGTTCCCAGGCTGTTTATTCTGTTTCTCTCTAACATGTTCTGCTGCCCTGCCCAGCTCTGTCCTGCAGGGCAGCGTGTGGGGCTCTGCCCTCAGTGGGATGTTACAAACATTAAATACCAGAAACTCCCTGGGCTGGATTTACAAGAACGTGCCAATATCTGTCACCTACGTTGGACAGTGTGTCCCCAGCCTGAACCAACAGAAAAATGCCAACACCACAGTGAGACATGGAGGGCATGAAGAAGGAGAAAAAGGACAAGGCACACCCAATTTCCTCCAGCTTGTCCCCTTTGGACCCCTCATCTAGAATCCTAAAATTTTACTTTTGCACAAATGCCACACTTAATTATTACTGATATCAAACACTCAGAGCTGGTAATTGATCCTGTAAGATTGAAAACTCTTTTCCATGGACAGAGATCACAGCCAGTGTCTCTGGGGGCTCTGGCCAGGGGGTTCCTGACCCCTGCCAGGGTCCCAGGGCAGCCAGAGGGAAGCTCTGCATTCCCACACAAAATCATCCCTGCCATGGTGGGGGACAAGTCCCACCATCCCAGATTGCTCCAAGCCACACCCAATGCTGGACACTTCCAGAATTCCAAATATTTAAAAAAAAACCAAACAGTGGCTGATTAGAGTGGATGAGGTCAAGCTATTCCCCCAAAACCACTGGAAATCTGTGGTAAATTTTCACTTTTCATTGCAATAAACCCTCTTTCCTTCTCTAATTCCTGCAGAGGCTGCTGAGAACCTCCTGAGGAAATCCAGCAAGGCCAAGTTGGGGTCTTCTCCTGTCCTGCCTCCAATCCCACCTGGACAGACAAACACCAACCCCTGACGGCCACGTCCATCCCAATTTCTGTCACACTGACTCTTCCTGACCCTGCTTTTCCATCTCTTGCTCTTCAAAATCTATCAAATATTATTGTTGAATCCATTTCTGATTAACTAACACAAAAAAAAAAAAAAAAAAAAGGGTTATTTATCTATAACTTTATTAAAAAGCAATTTCTGTGTTTCCCAGAGACAGAAATTATTTCCCCGGGCACTCTCAGCTGGGAAATGATGGAGATTCTTTTCCTACAGTGGAATTGTATCTTCCATTAATTTTATAGATTTAATTGAGGTGTGGAAGCACCAGGGCATCTGATAATATTGTCTGTGTTGTAGGACTGGTGAATTATTTAGAAGAGGGATTTTGTGAAAAGTTCAGAGGGAAACTGGGAGCGAAAACCAGTTCAGAGTTGGGGTTTTTTTTTTAAGTAAAATGTGGCTGAATCACAATTATTTGATTTGCAAGTGGATTTAAACAACCTAGCGAGGAGCCAACAGCAAAAATGAGAATTACTGAGAGCCAGCTGAAGGGGTAGGAAGCGAGTGAAGATTTGGGTTTTCAAAAGACAATAAAACTCCTGAATTAACATTTGTCCTGATTAATTTTTGTTGCCTTCTACTTCCAGAGCCTTTTGCCTCAGCAGGTTCCTCCTCAGAGCCCTTTCCCTGCACAGAAAATGGGATTTTGTCCCAGTTTGGGGCCATGGAAGAGCCAAGGGTTTTGTTGATTAAATTGGATTAATTACACCAAGCAGCTCAGGGTGAGTAATTCAGATTCAGGGAGCCTCAAATTCCAAACCTTTTTAGGAAGCATTTCCACGGAGCGGGATCCTCCAGCTGAAGATCAGCAGCTCTTCCAAGGCTCCGGATTTTTCATATTCAGATTTTCATGATTTTCTGGATTTTGGCAGAACAAGAAGTGATTCCGTAGCCCTGGGGCACAGGGAGCTCACAGCCAAAACTGGAGCTCCCAAAACCCCAAAACTGCAAAATTTTGGGTTTTCTTGGCCAAGGCGGTTCAGTGAGGACTGGACTGAAAAACCACCCAAAATCCTGCAGCAAACCATGGAATCATGGAATGGTTGGGTGGGAAGGGACTTTAAATCCCATCCAGTGTCCAAGGACATCTCCCACTGTCCCCATGTCCAGCCTTTCCTTGGGAATTCCAGGGATCCAGGGGCAACTCCAGCCCAGCCAGGAATTCCTTCCCAAAATCCCACCCCAAGCTCCCTTTCCCAGGGAATTCCCTCCATTCCCAGCTCTCCCAGCCTGGCACTGGATCCATCCCCACCCCGACTCTGCTCCAGGAAGGAATTTTGGGATCCGGGGGTTTCACTGGGAATCTCGGCACTCCAGGAAGGGTCTCCCTTCCCTTTTCCATCCCCAGCTTCCATAAAAATCCCTCAGGATGGAGTCTGAGCCTCCTTGATCCCAGAATCCTGGAATGGTTTGGGTGGGAAGGGACCTCAAATCCCATCCCATTCCAATCCCACCATCCCAGGCTGCTCCAGCCTTTCCTGGGACATTGCAGGGATCCAGGGGCAGCCCCAGCTGCTCTGGCAATCCCAGCCCAGCCAGGAATTCCTCATTCCCAAGATCCCATCCCTGGCTGCCCTCTGGCAGTGG